ATGCGGTAGCGCCCCTCGGTCGGTTGGGTGGGAGGAGAGCTGCGTTTCTGCCTGGGTTCCGCGCGTAACAGGCTTCGGCTTGGTGTCTCATGGGCCACTTGATGGTGCAGTCATTGCATATCAACGTCCAGACATTCACTGTGGACACTATTACTAATAATAATTATTTTGCTATCCACAATGCTTTTGCTAAAATTGTATGCAATGCACAATAAGATATTAAAGAAAAAGTACGCAACAACCACTTTATACACACAAATATATATATAATAAGAATTCCCGAGTTCACAAGTAGGTTTTTAAAAAGATATTTTATTTAACCGAACTTATAAAATAGAACATAGGATATGATAATGAATTCCCGAACTCAATGTTAGAAAGTCTCAAACGGAACTGTCTTCCTGTTCTCGAGTTATTGAGACCTCTGTTGGGAAGCTTAAAGCTTATCTCCTTAAGCTTTCGGCTTCGGCTGATATTTCGTCTTCGTGATTGAGTGATGATGGCTTCGGCTGAGAGAGGCGAAGCTTCGGTTGTGAGAGGCGTTGCTTTGGTGAGAGCGGCTGATAAGCGATGCGTCGGCCTATGTGTGGGAGGCTTGGGAGATGCGTCGGCTTGGATGAAACAGGCGGCCGTAGCTTGTGATTGGTGTCAGCTTTCATCTTGAGAACTCACTTGTTTACAAGAGTTCTCCCTTCTATTGGAGTGTGGGACTGATTCTGAATTAGTCATAGTGTGGAGTGTGGGAACGAGCTGATAACGTATTGGTCAGCGACGTTCTATTGCATTCCAGAGTTTTGAGTTGCATGGAACTTCCTGTTGATTTCGGTATGGACGAATCATGCGTTGTTTATTCAGGTGTTGGGGTATCTTCTTATATGTTTATCTTATTTCATATAGATGCGAATACATGGGTGTAAGGGTGAGTGCTGGGCATACGCATAACGTGTATGGTGTGGGTGTGGTTATGAATATGTCAAGTGCTTAACGTATACTTAATGCATATGTGGGTGTAGGGGCATTATGGATATGTTACTCCCCCGGCATTTCTTATAAGCCTGTCCTCAGGTTTTTACTTTAGGGTATAGGGAGGGAATTTCCTCTATAACTATTGGGGTACTATTTTATTCTTCTTCTTTTTCGTCTTCTTTCTTAGGTTTTACATATCTAATAGTTATATTTTTAGGTATTTTCTTAAATTTGACAATTAGATACCAAGTTATGCTTATTATTGATAAAATGAACATAATTATTATAACTATCTGCAATATATTACTATATTTTGTTTGTTGTATAATTATTTCTTTTGTCTGTACATAAGACAATGGTTCTAATCTAGTTATGTTATTACTCACATAGACATTTTGTGTAAAATCTAGCATTGAATTAGTTATTTGCGAATTCGTTTAATTGGGTTGAACAGTTGTAAATCTTAATTATATTATTGCCTTCGATTGTTATTTCTTTGTCTAAGCAGTTTTGGTTTAATTTGGATTTTGGAAGGTTCCATGTTAACAATATATTTGGTTCAACGTAATTAATTTGGAACTTCTTAAAAGTTCTTGTGTATGGACATTTAGTGGGTTTATGCTTTAAAATCCCTTTTATACAATTGTCTTCTATTATTTGCTTAGTTTCCTTGCTATATATTTTGTCTTCGTAAATATAATATTTATCTAATATTAATTCTGTTAAAATATTATTTTGGTTATCTGGATATAGCACAATTTTATATACTGGGATATTAGCAATTTCGCTCGGAATATTGGAGATTATATAAATTTCGTTTGTATCAACTTTTAGCCATGTAGAAGTTTTAATATTTAGCAATTTCTCAGAATTTATATGTTTCAGGTAATCTTGTTTTAGTAGTTTTGGGTTAAAAATACCAAGTCTAGTTAGTTGCATTCCCATTTCTATATCCTCTATGTATTCTGTGAAATGTTGTAGGTTGAAGATTAAAATTTCTAATTGTTGATTTTTGTTGTTTTCTTCGTTTAATTGGTTTATTATCTCAATTACATGGTTTACTACTTCTATAACTAAATTTAGTTCGTTTGTTTGGATGCTATGTGTGGCGAGATTTTCTATTCTCTGTTCTAATTCTTTCTTGTCTTCTTGATCTAGTGTGCCAAATAAGTATTTATAGGCGGTACCTACGATATTTATTAGGCCTCTCTTGTTGCGTTTAGCAATTTTTAAGCCATTTATTTCCCTATTTAATTTATCTACTAGGTATTTTACTTGGATTACGTTTTCAAATTTATTAGCCATTACTAGAAGGTTTTGATAGGTTTCTACAGTTTTTGTTATATTAACTGTTAAGTAATGGTATTCATAGTTAATCGGGAGATCGATTGATCCCGTTTTAAATATGAGGTATCCGTTTCTGGACTCAATCGGATTTATTTCAATATTTTGTCCTACTGTTGTAAGGGCCATTAATGTCATGATGACGATGATTTTAATTATGTTGCCGTTGATCGTTAACTTCTGATTCGATGGGCGGCCTGGAATTATCGTATTTGCTAATATTGTTGTTGCTAATAATGTTGGTAGTATTATGTCGGGTCTTGTAATTATATGTGTATATTATTAGTTCAAATTTAGTGTATTTGTTTTCGAGGTCATTCTCACTGGATATGATCCTCAATTTTTCGTTCACTGTTTTATGGAATCTTTCAACGTCTGATATTCCATTTTAAATGGATGTGATTAGGATCTTGACATCTTCCGAGATAAGCCATGCTTGCAATGCTGCGCACATAAAGGCTGAATCTTTGTCGGCTTTAATTTCTTGGGGTTTTCCCATTTCATTATAGACTTTTAGTATCGCCCTTTTGGTTTCTAACCAGTCACGACTGTTCACTTCTATTAGTGTAGCGAATTTGGAGTATATATCGATACATGATAGGAACTGTTGGTTACCTATCAGATAGAAGTCCATTACGTAACGTTCTCGGATGTTTAAGACTTCCGGTGTTACTTCAAATGACAACTTGGTGTTTCTATGCTCGGTCTTGGCAATATTACACGTTGTGCATTCGTTTATTATGTTTTGTATCAATTTTTGGTGGTCAGGGTAGTAGTGTTTTCCCTTAAACCAATTGATGGTTTTCTCTATTCCAGGGTGAAGTAATTCTTTGTGGTTTTTCATTATCAATTCTTTGAATTCTGCGTAATTGGGTTCATAACTTTTGTGAAATTGTTTGGACTGATAATTTCTAAATACGCTTGTTGGAAAATTGGGAAATCAGTCTCGTTATGGAAATATAATGCACTCTTTTTGGTACATAGATAATCCTTAATGAGTTCTTTAGCCAAGGTGTTGGTCATTTCTTGTATGTGATTTTGATAATCAATTTATGGAAATAGTGTTGTGTAGATACTCAATCTGACGATTGAAATAGTTGATTGGTCGTTCTGTAATGGGGATATGATTGAGATTGTCTGTCAGAGACTTCTCCGAGTAGATTTTCGTTAACTTTAACTCGGGAAAGGGCGTCCGCTACATGGTTTTCTTTGCCAGGTAGATATTTGATTTTGAAGTCGAATTCGTTTAATTTGATCTTCCACATTTGTAGTTTCATGTTTGGTTCTTTGAGGTTGTTTAACCATACTAAGGGCTTATGGTCGATAAGTATTTCGAATGTTCTTCCGAACAAGTATGATCGGAAATACTTAGTGGCCCAAACAATTGCTAACAGTTCTTTCTCGATAGCGGAATAATTGATCTCATGTTCGTTCAGCGTTCGGCTGGCGTAGCAGATCGGTTCATGGTCTTGCGATAGGACTGCACCGATAGCCATGTTATTAGCGTCGTTAGTAACAGAAAACATTTTGTTAAAGTCTGGATACACGAGAATTGGGTCTGAGGGGATGAGTACTTTTAGTCTCTCAAATGCCTCGACATATTTCTCTTCTTTAGGATCTGTTGAGAGTAGCAGCAGCGAGTTGGCAGGGGGCTGTTGTTAACAGCCGGAGCGCGCTCTCTCTTGCCTGGCGCTAGCGAGTTGGCGGGCATCCAGCTCACTAAGCGGGAGTTCAGTATGCTACCCACCCCCGTACATTCCGGTACGCGTCGATCGTTTTATATTCACACCCACATACATACACACATACAATCAAACAACCGCGCCGTTTCGAGTGCCCAATAAATCAATTTGTTAACGATCATACTGTGCCTATTCATTGCGGGACACTTTGGATCTGCTGAGGGCTTATCTGCAGCACTAGGAAGCGCCCTACTACAAACATTGGTCCTTCGAGCCGGATTCTTGCTGAATCGAGATTGTCCCAGCAAGCATCGGTGGATTCCAGAGAGAACTGCAGATAAGTACGCTCATATTGTGCCGCCAATCGATTCCTTCCGCGATTGGCGTTCCGCACTATTCACGTCCGAGTGTCCACTTATCCATATGTACATATATTCTTATGTACATATTGTCCGCTCTCACTAACACTTTCCGTTAGCTATTCGCAATTATCCGCTACACAGCCACAATACCGGCGTCCGACACGTATGTATATATGCATGTGCATATGTTGTGCCTGATTCGCACACACATACCCCGCCCCCAATAAAACACTCATCCGAAGTGATTTATTGGCGTTGTTTATTGTATTTATTGTGTATATCGAATTGGATATTCTTACAATCTTATTTTCACTCAATACTTCTCATAAATAATAAACCTCATTAATCCCGGTGGGAAAATACCTAAAAAAAAATACCGATTACTCCACATCTACATACCACACTTAGTATATGTAGGCACGAACGCGTTCGTCCGATACGCGGTACCAGCACTCCGCTGCTTATGCAAATTTCGCAATTACCAAGAATTTAAGCATTCCAGGCGCCCCTAACGTGACCCACAGCCCGAGCAATTTCCCCCACATCCGGGATAAATTCATCCAACAAGAGGCACAGCTCATTTCCGCAGTCTTTTTTGCATTTTTCCGCGCCAAATTCCAAATTGCAAAAAAAACTAGAGGTGACAAACCAAAAAAAAAACCTAGTGGTGGCAAAAATAAAAATATCGCTCACGGGCCTCGTATCCATCGAGTAGTTAATATTTTTTCGCAAATCACCTTGTCCATCGCCCACTACGACTAAATCCATTCCAGTACCGATATTTAAACATATCGTAGTCTAGTGCGGATCCCGATTGTGATTCTTTTGTGCGCCAAAACCGCGGGGAACAGGAAAAATATCCTTTTTTCTTGCGTCATATCATCCGATAGTTTTCCCGAACACTTCCGTTTTCGCTCTAAGATCGTCTTACACATCACCCACTACGACGAAATAAAATCCAATACCGATATATCAAATATCGTAGTCTAGTGCTGATTCCGTTTTCGACTTTTTCGTGCATTAAAACCACTGCCAATAAGAAAATATCAATTTTCTTGAGGAATATCGTCCGATAGTCGTGCTCGACAGGAAAACAATTCCTTGTTGTTCTGCCTCTGGTGTGGTGTCCATTTCCGCTTTATCCGCACAGTCCTCATTTGGCGTTCATTTGTGCTTCCGCGTGCGGTCCTTCTTAGTATGCCAACAGGTGTGGAAGACAACAAGAAGTTTTTGGCGGTGCCTACGCCTGGTAGATCAAGGCCATCTAGCTCATCCGTGCCATCAACGCCGACCTCGGGGACTCAAAGGGCAAGGTCCTTAGGTACTCCAAGGGCTTCCACGAGTGCCACGGCGGCGACGACCAAATCGGTGCTGTTTCCTTCGCCGATCACGACTAAGGTGCTTTCGCCTCCATACCCGCAACTAGTCGATCCTCGCTCCACACTTCCAATGGCACAGCCGATTGTCACCTCCGCACGGGCCAAGTTTGTGGCAGCCATCGATAGGCTGACCACCTTGGAGGCACGGCTCACCACTCCAGGGACCGCCACCCCATCCTCCGCGGTCTCACAGGTCCGTCGTGACCAGCTCAAAAACATGTGGGCCAAGGTGGATGCTGAATTTGAGGCATGTTCGCTGGCAATGCTGTGCGAGGCCCCTGAAGACCAAGAGGAAATTCAGAAAATGTATGGCGAGTGCTATGAGGGCTATGAGCGGTGCGTGGCGGACCTCATAGCCCAAATAGACCGCCCAGACCTCCGACCTCCCGGGCCGCAGACCTCCCAGGGCGGTTGTCGGCTGCCCCCCTGTGACATTGAAGTTTTCGCAGGGGATTACGTTCGCTGGCCGACGTTCCGCGACCTATTCACAGCGATTTATATAAACAATCCGAGGCTGTCCCCGGTGGAAAAGCTGTACCACCTCACTACTAAAACCCGTGGCGATCCGAAAGCCATAGTAGAAAAGTCCCCACTTACCAATGACGGTTTCGAGGCAGCATGGTCAGCCCTCCGTAGTCGATATGAAAATAATCGACTCCTGGTGACCAACCAGATAAATATCCTGCTATTGCTGCCTCGCGTGGGTTCCGAGACTAGTCGTGCCTTGAAAGAGCTTCAGAGCACCATTCAAGGTGTTCTAACTGCTCTGGCCCACTCCAAGGTCTGCACAGACAATTGGGATAGTATTCTGGTGACCATCTGTGCATCCAAGCTGCCAAAACTGACCCGGGCTCTGTGGGAAGCGTCAGTGACTGACAAGAAGGAAATGCCTCCATGGACGGAAATCGACTCCTTCCTGACACAGCGGTACCTGACGCTAGAGGCCATGGAGAGCGACCCTTCCCAGGCTAGAAGCGATCCGCATCAGCAACCGTCCAAAGGCAGTCAAAATCCGCAATCCTCCGGAAGCCACGCCAACCCATTCCGGTCTCAAGGCAGTCCTCCTCCGAGGAACTTTCACTCCTTCAAGACCCACATTAATCCGAAGCAGTGCGATCTCTGCTCCAAAGAGAATCATCCGGTCCGGCTCTGCCCGCACTTCCTCCAAATGGACGTTGAAGCACGTTCAAGCTGCATCAAGACGAAGCAGTTGTGCTTAAACTGTTTTGCCCGAGGTCACCAGCTCCGAGAGTGCACCAGCGCCCACAATTGTTTCACGTGTGGAGCCCGTCACCATACACTGCTGCATCGCGGTACTCCTGCCTCCAGTGAGTCGTCCACATCCGCGCAAATTTCCAATTCGTCCGACGCTCAGCCCACCGTGCAAAATTATTTCACCTCGGGCACCAGGCCCGTTCTTCTAGGCACGGCAATAATTAACATTTGCCACCTGGGGACAAATTTCCGCGCCCGCGCTCTAATCGACTCGGGCTCCGAGGCTACGTTCATTACGGAACGGCTTTTTAACATCATCAAACTACCATTCCGCCTTATTCAGGCACAAGTCTCAGGCCTGAGTCAGTCGGTAGCAGCTCAGTCCAAGAAGCTCTGCCACTTTTCCATTCGTTCCCCGACTAAGCCGGGCTTGCAGTTGAAAGCCGCGGCTTACGTATTGCCGGAACTAGCAGGCAATCTCCCGTCATATCCAATTCCGCTAAGTGCGTTGCGAGATTTGCCGAACCTGCCATTAGCTGATCCCACCTTCTATGAGAGCTCGCAGATAGATGTCCTGATCGGAGCCGATATCCTTCCCTCCATCCTTCTGAGCGGTTCACAGACCGACATTTGTGGCTCTCTCCTTGGGCAGGAAACGATTTTCGGGTGGTTGCTTACTGGTCCGGTGCCCAGTGCCCCCCCGAACCGAATCGCATCTTTCTCCACACAAGTGTCCAACGTCCTCGATGCTCCATTAGACAAGCTCCTCACAAAGTTTTGGGAGGTGGAGGATCTACCAACCAAGTTAGTAGGAGAGTCCGATTCCTATTGTGAAAGCAACTTCCTACAAACCACCACGAGGGCAACAAGCGGAAAATACATGGTAACCCTACCATTCCGCGACCCGGGTCATCTCGGGTCTGGCCTAGGGTATTCAAGGTCCATCGCACTAGCCCAGTTCTTAAGGAACGAGAATCGGCTGAAGAGAGATTCGCCGTTGCACGAACAGTACGTTTCCGTAATCCAAGAATACTCAGATCTGGGCCACATGACAGAGGTCCCTCCGAGCCACGACTCCAACAACTACTATCTCCCTCACCACGCAGTAATCAAACCCGATAGCACTACAACGAAGCTTCGTGTGGTGTTTAACGCATCCAGCCCATCCGCGAACGGAACGAGCTTGAATGACCTCCTTCACGCGGGCCCGGTCCTACAATCCGATTTGACCCTTCAGATTCTGAAATGGCGCTACTTCCGATATGCGTTCAACGCCGACATCACCAAAATGTACCGTCAGATTTGGGTGGATCCAGAACACACTCGTTTCCAGAGAATCTTGTTTCGAAACGCAGAGGGGGAAATTCGTGATTACGAATTGAAAACCGTCACCTTTGGCGTCAACTGCGCCCCCTTTCTCGCCATTCGAGTCCTTCAACAGCTTTCCAACGACGTCCAATCGCAATTCCCCAGGGCTAGTCATATCATTCGGCACTTTATGTACGTCGACGATGTCCTCGCCGGCGCTGACTCCACACAGGAGGCTCAGCTAGCCATCCGCGAATTACAGGCCGCCCTCAGTTCGGCAGGTTTTCCGCTACGAAAGTGGACAGCCAACCACAAGGACGTATTGGCCGAGATTCCGAGTGACCACCTCCTCCACACTGATTTCCTGGAGATTGACGCACAGAGCACGGCAAAGACCCTCGGCATTCGCTGGAAAGCGACCTCCGACGAGTTCTTCTTTGTTCCTCCGGTGCTCTCGCTTGAGTCATCCTACACCAAGCGAGAAGTCCTCTCGCAGATAGCGAAACTGTTTGATCCTGCAGGGTGGCTGGCACCGTTCATCGTCCGCTCCAAGATCTTCATGCAGGAAATTTGGTTGCAGGAACTGGAGTGGGATGAGAACCTTCCGAACGAACTGTGTCAATACTGGCAAGCCTTCCTGCGTAGTTACTCCTGTCTCACCAAGATCCGTATCCCAAGGTGGATTGGTTCCCAGCCATCCGTTAAGGTGGAGCACCATGGGTTCTGTGATGCCTCAGAAAAGGCTTACGGCGCCGCGATTTATGTTCGCGTTGAGATGGGCCAGCGTATCGACGTGCATCTACTGGCAGCGAAGACACGAGTTGCGCCCGTAAAAACCGTATCGCTTCCCCGGTTAGAGCTGTGCGGGGCCGTGCTTCTAGCCGAAATGGCGACGGCTATCCTGCCAAGTATGCCGACGACAGGGTCTACCTGTTACTACTGGACAGATTCCACAATCGTTCTCGCCTGGTTGAACAAGCCTGCATGCCATTGGACCACCTTCGTGGCCAATCGAGTGACGAAAATCGCTCAAACCACCGAGACCCAAAAGTGGTCTCATGTGCGCTCCGAGCACAACCCGGCGGATTTAGCCAGTCGGGGGGTTCCTCTACAGGATCTGGTTGACAACCATCTCTGGTGGCATGGGCCCTCGTGGTTACAGCAACCACGCTCTCAATGGCCGCTCCAAGATCAGGAAACCCCCGTCATAGACCTCGAGCAGCGGGCTGTGAAAGTCCATTTCACAACCAGCCCACCCGAAGACTTCCTCGAGCGATTCTCCACGCTTGAAAAAGCTCTACGAGTCCGCGCGTACGTCCTGCGTTTCCTAAAGCGCTGCCGAAAACTACCGTACGCACAGGAGATCCATCCTACAAGCGGGGAAATTAACGAGGCTGAACGAACTCTTATCCTAGAAACTCAGCGCCGAGAATATTCTCAAGAGTATCACTCCTTACGTGAGAAGCGTCCAGTGCCTCGATCAAGTTCTATCCTGAATTTGAATCCGTTTATGGATCAACATGGGGTCATACGCTCCTGCGGCCGTGTATCTACGGCGCAAGGGCTGAAGTATGACGAGCGACATCCCATAATTCTTCCGTATAACTGTCGTTTGTCGCGACTCCTCACGCAGTTCACACACCGGATCACTCTTCACGGGGGCAGCCAATTGATGGTGCGACTTATCCGATCCAAGTATTGGATTCCACGGATTCAGAAGCTGATGAAGGGTGTCGTGAACTCTTGCAAAGTGTGCCTTATCCACAAAAGGAAGTTGCAAACTCAACTGATGGGGGATCTCCCCAGGGAGCGAACTTCATTCTCCCGACCGTTCACGCACACCGGAATTGACTACGCCGGTCCCTTCGAAATCCGCAACTACACAGGGCGGGCGTGCCTTATTACCAAGGGGTATGTGTGCGTGTTCGTGTGTTTCTCCACGAAGGCTATTCATTTGGAGCCTACGTCCGACCTCACCACCGAGAAATTTCTCGCTGCCTTCGCGCGGTTCGTCGCGAGACGAGGCTGTCCACAGAGTATCCACTCCGATAACGGCAAGACCTTTGTGGGCGCAGCCACAGTACTGGCCCGTGATTTCCTAGAAGCATTTAAGGACTCTGTGATTGATGCGTATAGTCACCAAAGGGTCTCGTGGAAATTCATCCCACCAGGGGCCCCACATATGGGGGGACTTTGGGAAGCCGGAGTGAAGAGCTTCAAAACCCTGTTCTATAAGGCCACGTCCACTCGTAGATACACCTTCGAGGAGCTCTCCACGCTTCTCTCGAAAATAGAGGCGTGCCTTAATTCCAGACCGCTCTCGCCTATGTCCGAAGATCCGACGGAGTTACTGGCCCTAACTCCCGGGCATTTCCTTACGGGGGGACCCTTAATGGCGACGGCGGAGCCAGAAGTTAAGGGTGACCTCACCTCGATCATAAATCGATGGCAACATCTGAAGGCACTCAACCAACAGTTCTGTCGTAGGTGGAAAGAGGAATACCTCAAGGAACTCCACAAGCGGACCAAATGGCAAACGCCCACGCCCAATCTGCAGATTGGTGATATGGTCGTCGTCAAGGAAGACAACTTGCCGTCTAATGAATGGCGTCTCGGACGAATCCATTCCGTGTACCCCGGCGCCGACGATCGGGTCCGTGTAGTCGACATCCTCACTGCACGGGGGGTCCTCAAAAGGCCCGTCGCAAAGGTCGTTCTTCTGTCCGTAGAACCTCCTCGCTCCATCCAACATTAACGAAGAGCGTGCGCGTCCCCCGCTTCCTATCCCGTTACTAACCCGTCTCCTATTCTTTGTCTTCTTCTTTCGCCATAGTTTCCGTATTTAGAGATGGCTCCACGGTCTCGTAACACCCGCACTTCGGAGAGTAGACGTTCTCGAGGTAGTAACTCCTACCGTTGCCGAGTCTGCTCCGGAAGCCATCCGCTCCGTGCCTGCCGACGCTTTCTTCGCCTGGACGCCGAGAAGAGACTCCGAGCCGTCTTGATTAACAAGTACTGCGCTAATTGCCTGGCTCATCGGCACTCCGGCAGAGACTGCCGCAGTACCAAGGGCTGCAAAGTGTGCGGTGGGAACCATCATACGCTACTCCACAACCGTGCGTCCCAGCGTTCAGGCCGCGCTTCCGGACCAGCCCCTCCGGCGGCTCCAGCCTCTAGCGTTGAACGACGCCGTCGTCTCCCCGAAAACCGCCCCGTCGTGGAAGATCCGGCACCATCCGTGGCTACGCTCCTCCAGAACCGGAGCATCAACGTTCTCCCGACGGCCCTGGTGGTCTTAGATACGGGTTCCAGAACCTTTGAGACAGTGGCTCTTATAGACCCCTGTACCCCAGTGAGCAGCATCGACGAGTCATTGGCCATCGCCTTCAAACTGCCCTCCACGCGGGTTGGCACCGAGAAGGTGTGCACTGCGACTGTCCGCGCCAAGAATGGAAACTTCCAAGTGGACGCAGTGCTGAAGGTCGAGCCCCGCCTGCGCGTCCGCACGCCACTACGCCCCGTGACCGAGGCGGTGCGAACCCGTTTCGACGACATTCGCCTCGCCAACGAGCGCTTCCATCGCCCATCCACTGTCTCCCTCGTGCTCGGCGCCGACGTTTACCAGAAGGTGATCCAACCCGGGTTCCTCGCCCTAGGAGAAGGTCTTCCCGTGGCCCAAAGCACCGTATTCGGATGGATTGTTTCTGGGGCGTGCACTCAGCCATAGAGGTTCTCCATTGCAGTCCTGCAAGGGGGGGGAGGATGTTGAGAGTAGCAGCAGCGAGTTGGCAGGGGGCTGTTGTTAACAGCCGGAGCGCGCTCTCTTGCCTGGCGCTAGCGAGTTGGCGGGCAGCCAGCTCACTAAGCGGGAGTTCAGTATGCTACCCACCCCCGTACATTCCGGTACGCGTCGATCGTTTTATATTCACACCCACATACATACACACATACAATCAAACAACCGCGCCGTTTCGAGTGCCCAATAAATCAATTTGTTAACGATCATACTGTGCCTATTCATTGCGGGACACTTTGGATCTGCTGAGGGCTTATCTGCAGCACTAGGAAGCGCCCTACTACAAACAGGATCTATTGTTGCTCGTTTCTTTAATTTGAGCGTCATAGGCTTGGCTATGTTAACGAAATTAGGAATGAACTTCCTATAAAATCCGCATAGTCCTAAGAATGACTTGATTTGTTTCGTGGTTTCGGGGATGGGAAACCCTGTGATGGCTATGATCTTGTTAGGATTTGGTACTATTCCTTCGGGTGTAACTATATGACCTAGGAACTCAGTTTCTTTCTTCAGAAACTCACACTTATCCATTTGTAGCTTGAGGTTTGCGTCTCTAAGCTTGCCAAAGACTTTTCTTAGGGACAGAAGGTGTTCATTCAATGAAGTGGAGAAAATTATTATGTCTTCTAAGTACACCAAACAGTCTGTGAAAATTAAGTCTTCCAAAAGATCGTTCATGCATGTTTCTGTTTTCCGGAAGCGTCTATCTTCTTCAGAATCATTGTAATGGGTGAACAGTAAGGCGATTTCGATTTACGAATTATTCCTTGCTCAATCATTTCTTTGATTTGCTTATTGACTTCTTCGTCATGTATTTGGGCATACTTGTATGGCTTTCTGTATACCGGATCTTCGTGTTGTGTTTGAATTGGATGTTTGACAATACTTGTGAAAGTCAAATGGTCACCATCTCTGTACTGCACATCGCTGAATTCAACCAACACCTTCTTCAATTTTTCTTTCTTTTCATCGTTCAGATGCTCTAGCTTTAGCTCGTGATATTCCCTTAGTTCATTATTGATAGCGGAAGTGAAGTATTGATCCCCTTCTGAGGATGAGTCAAGGCACTTCTGTGAGATATTATCTTTTTCTGAAGATGTATCTTTGCACTTATGTGCGGTCTTAACCTCTTCAATTGCTTCTCCACTAATAATGATTGGGAATGTTCTTTCTCCTAATCTTACAGTATTGTCACTGTAATTAATAATGGCTTTGCTAGCCATCAGATATTCTCTTCCTAGAAGGATATCGTAGTTGTCCGAGAAGTTATACAGGTAGAACTTCTGCTCACTGGTACAGACTTTGTTGGGGGGCCTAACTATACTTTTGGTTAACTTAACTGGTCCGTTGATGGTATGGACCATGAGAAATATGAAAACCTTGAGGTTTTCTATATTTATGGGGGCATTCGGAATGTTTTCTTTTATGATGTTTATTGATGATCCCGAATCCACGATACCTCTAAGTATTTTGTTATTTAATTTTATGTTTATATAGGATCCCCCTCGGTTTCTTCCGAGGCTGTATGATGAAAATTTACATCCATTTTCATCTGGTCGCTTTGACTTTCCCTAATCCTTTTAGTAGGTTGATTGGGCCTGCTGCCACTTGGTTCTGATTCATTTGATAATTAGCTGGATTCTGTGCTTGACCTTTATTCAAGGAGTTACGAAACTCCTGTTGCAATCCAGGATTGTTATTATTGTGTCTAGATGTACCTGAACCAAATGGATTCTGAGCCTGATGTGTATTACTACTAAAGTTTTGGTAATAATTCCCATTATTCTTCTGAGCGGACTGCTGCGGTTTATGCTAATCTTTATTGGTATTCTTATTTTCTACCTTAGCTTCGTACAAGCCTTCTTCTTGAGCGGCTTCTTTAAGTTTAGACAGTGTTGTTATGTCTTTTCGGACTAAGGTCATAAATGTCCTATCAGGGAGTTTACGCGATATTACATCTTTAATTATATTATTTAATGCGTTGTGATAGATCAGGGTGTTGGCTGCACTGTTTTCTAATGCTAGCTTATTGGTAACTACAAGGGCTTTAGTTTCTAGATCTTCTACAAACTTACGAAGACTCCCATTGAATTTTGTGAAATAGATTTGTCGCAGAAGTTCTTCGTATGGTGTGTGGTCCTTGAATTCGTCTATCAGAGCATTCTTCAGTTCCATCCAGGTGTTGGGTTGCACCATTTGTGAGAGTCGTTGGGCTTCTTCGGTCAGCTGCACCTCAACTGCTCCAAACAGTATTCGTGACTGTCTGGCGTCTTGCGTCGGGTACAGTTCTTACACGTACTCAACGCGTTTAATGAAGGAGCTCAGCTTTCCAGCTGATCCGTCATAGGCTGGCACTTGTCGAATTGACAGTAGTGCTTGATTTAGGTGAATTTCACTAAGGGTTGCAGGTGGTAATGCCATTTTGATTTGTAATTGATTTTAGTTCACTTCACGTGTTTCACTCAATGGATTATTTACTTGTTGATTTATTTAAATCGTTGCTGTTGGTGATTTATATAATCGTTGCGATTTTGGGTTACACAATTATTGTTTTGTCTAACGTTTGTGTTTGGCCTAGTGCTGCGTTGCATCTAGGTTCTTTGGCGGATTCACTTTGACTAACTAGCTTCGCTGATCTCCAGCAATCTAGTCGTTTAGATTGCTTCTAATAGATTAGTACCAGAACAATAATGTTAGTGTTTGTAAATCCTACCGGCTGCGCCAATAAGAATTCCCGAGTTCACAAGTAGGTTTTTAAAAAGATATTTTATTTAACCGAACTTATAAAATAGAACATAGGATATGATAATGAATTCCCCAACTCAGTGTTAGAAAGTCTCAAACGGATCTGTCTTCTTGTTCTCGAGTTATTGATCTCGAGACCTCTGTTGGGAAGCTTAAAGCTTATCTCCTTAAGCTTTCGGCTTCGGCTGATATTTCGTTTTCGTGATTGAGTGATGATGGCTTCGGCTGAGAGAGGCGGTTGTGGGAGGCGTTGCTTTGGTGAGAGCGGCTGATAAGCGATGCGTTGGCCTATGTGTGGGAGGCTTGGGAGATGCGTCGGCTTGGATGAAACAGGCGGCCGTAGCTGGTGATTGGTGTCAGCTTTCATCTTGAGAACTCACTTGTTTACAAGAGTTCTCCCTTCTATTGGAGTGTGGGACTGATTCTGAATTAGTCATAGTGTGGAGTGTGGGAACGAGCTGATAACGTATTGGTCAGCGACGTTCTATTGCATTCCAGAGTTTTGGGTTGCATGGGACTTCCTGTTGATTTCGGTATGGACGAATCATGCGTTGTTTATTCAGGTGTTGGGGTATCTTCTTATATGTTTATCTTATTTCATATAGATGCGAATACATGGGTGTAAGGGTGAGTGCTGGGCATACGCATAACGTGTATGGTGTGGGTGTGGTTATGAATATGTCAAGTGCTTAACGTATACTTAATGCATATGTGGGTGTAGGGCATTATGGATATGTTACTCCCCCGGCATTTCTTATAAGCCTGTCCTCAGGTTTTTACTTTAGGGTAAAGGGAGGGAATTTCCTCTATAACTATTGGGGTACTATTTTATTCTTCTTCTTTTTCGTCTTCTTTCTTAGGTTTTACATATCTAATAGTTATATTTTTAGGTATTTTCTTAAATTTGACAATTAGATACCAAGTTATGCTTATTATTGATAAAATGAACATAATTATTATAACTATCTGCAATATATTACTATATTTTGTTTGTTGTATAATTATTTCTTTTGTCTGTACATAAGACAATGGTTCTAATCTAGTTATGTTATTACTCACATAGACATTTTGTGTAAAATCTAGCATTGAATTAGTTATTGCGAATTCGTTTAATTGGGTTGAACAGTTGTAAATCTTAATTATATTATTGCCTTCGATTGTTATTTCTTTGTCTAAGCAGTTTTGGTTTAATTTGGATTTTGGAAGGTTCCATGTTAACAATATATTTGGTTCAACGTAATTAATTTGGAACTTCTTAAAAGTTCTTGTGTATGGACATTTAGTGGGTTTATGCTTT